TGATGTATGATAAAAAAAAAAAAAAAAAAAAAAATAGATTAGAAGGAAATGATAATTTAGGATGGAATTAAAAAAAAAAAAGAGAAGAAAAATAAGTTCGTATCAATTAATTATCTTAATTTTTGATATTTTAATTTTGAACTTTAAAGGAAATATTTCATCCAAAATTATATTAATTTATAATACATTACTATTCATTCATATTTTATATTTGATTAATTAATAAACAAAAAGAAAAAAAGGAAGAAAAAAATTAAATAATATAATTAAATTGATCGAAATGTTTTATCACTCAATAACATTTCATTTTTAACAGAAAATTAAAATACAAATACCTGAACAGGTTGTTGAATGGAATAAAAAATAATTGCTAGGCTAAACATTTTATTGAGCATTTCGTTTGCTTCTATAATTGCTTATCCTTAATAATTTATCCTGAAATATTAATTCCATTAAAAATATTAATGCTAAATTCATTAATTAAGATATCACAGTACCAACAAATATGCCATAGTACAAATTAGTTAAATTAGATAAGGAGTTATTTCAATAGATTGGATTAATTATTCTGGTAAATTAATTTAATTTCCTAATGTGCTATATCATATCCGTGGGCGCAATGAATATCTGTTAGATTAATGAATATACTGTATCATTGTTACTGTATCAATTACATGATAAGAGCTGGTCAGTTTTTTTTTTTTCGATTTTAATTTTTGAGCTGAAATAATTTCCGCTATGCAAATAAAGCTTAAATGATAAACTGCGGAAGTTTGTGATAAACTTGAATGATAAATTTTTTCACAATATATTCATTAATCTAACACATATTCATTAATATAGCTCATTAGACATCGTTGAATAAAATTTTTCCAATCAAAATAAGGAGGAAACACTCAAATCCGCTTTATCACTGTTATCATTTGTTTTATCTTATTGATAAATTAAATGTAATAATGGTAAAATGTAAAATTATTCTCTGTTTATAATATTAAAATTATTTTCAATTTTTTCATTAATTTGTATGCTAGCAGTTCTAGCAATAATACTTTACTAAGCTGATTAATTAATTACCTTACTAATAATATGATAAGGGAAGCTGTTGTATAAAGGACAAAATCAGTGAAAGATTTAACTAATTACTTCGTCAATAATATAATAAAAAATAATATTAATAAAGATTAAGGTAAGATGAAGGCTGGCTGATAAAAATTAAACTAAGAAAAATGTTAAAGTAATTGCAAATGAAAAAGGTAAAAGAAAATGAAAAACGATAATTAA